AAAGCTCGTTAACAAGTTTAGTTGTTAAACATGCACTCTTGAGATCTATCATTACTGAAAAGTCTTTCAACAGACACTGATGTTGTTGGCATTGACAAATATTTTCTGGATATTTTTGAGAGAATTGATTGGATTTATTTTGAAAGACTTTGTATACATGTAAAATTGAATTGAAAATTATTCTGGAGCCGAGGTATTAGAACTGTTATTGATTTGGTATTGAGCTGCTTTTCGAATATATGATAAAACATTTTATTGAAAATAATGAAGATTATATAAAAGAGAACCCAATTAAAATTCTACAATTGATTTATGCTAACGAAAAATTTAAGGAATTGAAAAATATCTATTTGGAAAAGTTTTGTGGCTATAATGAAAAATTATTTGAGTCAGGTAACTTCCATTAGCCTTTCCATCAGATTACTTTTACTGATAATGTGGCAGTATTAAATAATAAAAATTTCATAAGATAATTGAGAAACTAATGGAATGTGTGTTTGAAAACAAATCTTGAATTTGAGCAATACTATTACAGATTGTAACATTAATACCACTTTAACATCAGTCGTTGGCAGGTTTGATCGTAAAAATTCAAAAAAACATACAATCCGCAAAGTGATATAACTACTTCATTATCTGCAAAAAGTTAGAGGATATTAGTCTTACACAATATGACCATTTTTGAAGTTGGATATACTTTACAATAAACATGTAATCCATACAATTTTAACAAACCCAAATTCATCACCACCACGCTTCCTCACAACCCTATTAAAGACAATTTTAACATCTTGGTGCTTTGATTTTAACATTAAAAAGGCGCGAATGATTGTATGAAAACTCGAGATTGGTTGGTTTCATTGATTAGATTATGTCTATTTTCGGTTGGTATTATGATTTTGCACATCACATTTTGAAATACTCATTTTTGAGTGTATGTGATGGAAGAAACTATGCATTAGAGTTGCGAGGAAGATTTCCCGATACTATGGCTCGGACAAATTATAATCTGAAAGGTCATTGTCTATTTCAAATGATTATTTCACACTAAGAAAAGATCTTGAATATAAGATATAAGAAAGTAGGGAAATCACATTTATCAAAATGGTTCTTACACGAGGTTCAAATAGTCCTGTATAAATTTCGTAATATTGTTAATTCATGTTTTCAGATAGATCCCATCCTATACCAATATGACAAAAAATCTCATTCAATTACGTACATACACCGTTTCTTTCATTCTTTTGTGCTTATTCTGCAGTCCTCGATTATTGTTTCACTCAAAACCAGGTTGAGCTTTTTGTAATATTTTTCAGTTGTTTGAACTTGATGTGTTGGGGCTATATATTGAAAAATGCAAATGGGGTTGGATCGAGACTAATGATGCATGACGAAATTTTTGACTTCAGTCATTGATGTGACGAAAGCACTGATCAACAGAATTATGACTTGGTTGCAGAACTATCCTTACCGTAAAGGTAGGATCATTGCAGGAAACTTTTCAGCTAACATGGCAGCCTTTTCTGATCTGGGTGCTGTAAAGATTAGTGAAAAGTGTCCTTGATGATTGATGCAGTCTTGATGCATTCCAGGGCCATACCACCTCCCTGTAATTCCATTGCATCATTGTATCCTTGGGAGCCGCAGGTTGGTATACGTGAGAAATGTAAGGTGGTGACTGTAGTGTGTTCAAGGTATCATGCGTGCTTCAACGCCTGTCAATTTCCAATAATTAAACATTGTCTATTTGAATTGTTTCTTCTGCAACAGTCATTATGCTGTCTTGTAATTAATTATTTATAATAATATTATACCAATCATTTACCATCTTGATAAGAATCTTATAATTATCCAGCAAGGTCTGCTCTGTGTTTTGAAAATAAATATATTATCAATACAAATAAAAAATAGTATATCTGTTCATTAACACGTCTTCTTTAGGAGATTCATGTTTTGTCATTTTTGAAAATAAATTGTTTTTCCAAAAAAAAAAAAAAAAAATCAATTCACAATAAGTTTCCATACATAAATAATTAACGTGTATGCGAAAAGAAAAAAGAAGAAAAGATAATGATGCTGCGTTTCTGGCTAAGTGTTTATCATAAAAATGGTGGTGGTGGTTATTGCCACTAGTTGTCATTCTAGTTTGTAATATATGAAGATACATCAATTATGAAAAAGTATTATTACTATAGTAACAAGTAGCAAACAACGATGAATCATCATTTTTTGAGGATGATAATAAAGATTTTGTTTCATGAAAATATTCAAGTTATTCAAAAAAAAAAAAAAAGAGAGAGGATGGCATCCTATTTATATGTTTTGAATTTAATAAAATAGACTATTATTGTCTTGGCCTGAATGATGTCTTTTTTTTGCTTTTTTGCGACAAGAATATGCAATCCAAACCCAACTTAAAATAAATGAATTTTTGTTCTTGTGTAGCAGAAGCTCACACTGCGTTCTTAGTTGTAAGCTTGTTTACATAAAATCATGAACTCTGCGCTATCTGCTCTAAATAAAAATATTGAAGGAGATATAGCAACAAATTTATTTGATCAAATATATGATGCTTTTATTTCAACAACAGTGTATCTTGCTGATTTAACAAATATTTTAAAGAAATTAATCAATACATTTCAGTTAGAACATTTATCAATATCTCATTTTAAATTACAACTTGATGTTACAATTAAAACAATTGAAACTGAATTTATAAGCTCTGAAGAGATTCCACCAAATTATGGTACAATATTTAAAAAATATTTGGATGATAATTATAGTTCCATTTCACCATTTGTTAAAGAATATTCAATTGCAATAATTGATGCTATTAAAAACAGATTTCCAGAATCTGAATTATATAATGCATTTAATATTTTTGATCCAAGAGAACTTCCAGATGATGATAGAGAATTAGTTTTATATGGAAATCAAGAAATAGAAATTTTAGGTAATTTCTATGGAGAAATTAAATTTGTAAATGGTAATGAATTTAGTGGAATCATTGACAAAGAAGAACTTAAACAAGAATGGAATTCAACAAAACTTTTCCTACAGAACTATAAAAATAATAATAGGGAAATGAATTTCATTCAATTGTGGAAACTCATTTTAGATACTGATGAAGATTTTCCTTTTAATAATCCAAATATATTATTAGTTGTTAGAATAGCACTTCTTATACCTCTTTCTAATGCTCATGTAGAAAGAATATTTTCTCAAACAAGGTTAATTAAAAACAAATTAAGAAACAAAATGCATTTAGACACATTAGATGATCATTTAATAAAATCATTAAATGGACCAGAAATTGAAAATTTTGATTTTTTAAAAGCATTAGAACATTGGGAGAGTAAAAAACCAAGAAGAAACATTAGGTTTTAATTTTTTTTGTAAAACAATATTCATTAATATTAAAATAAATAATTAAAATTTTCTAAAAAACGATATGTGCACACTGCTTGTGTAACGTTACACACTCCCGCTGAATTTTCAACACTGTCAAATCACGAAATCGCAATTTTTGAAATTTGGTAGCATATGGCGCAGCAATAGGACCAAGCCAACCATATTAAAGAAAATTTTTGTTATATTAAGATTATCAAAATAAACTTTAGGTATAAAACTAATATTATTGTTTAAACCTTCACCATCCAGAAGTTGTCAATTCCCATAAAGTTTTATTAAAACAAAGTCTTTAATGTAGCAATTTCTTCAAATTTTAATATTACGGCTTTATGAGAAATCATAAAGGTAAATAATGTAACATTAAAAAATTTAATCAATTAATTTGAATAAATAGTAATATTTGTTTTTGTAAGCCAGCCAAAAGGAACCTCGCACCCAAACATCATGTAGTTTCAATTACAATCTTAAGAAGGTAGATCTAAAATATGGTATTTATATGGATTTGAAGATTGACATCTTGTTAAATATTTTATCTAATAATTGTTTCAACTCCACTGATAATAGCTAAAAAAATTTATTTGATTTAGAAAATTTTATTAGTATTAAAATCTGGAGATTTTTCTTTTATATTCTAACAGATTAATTCACCTGGTTCCATAATTTTCATTGCCACAGCTTGTTCAATGTTATAACATTTCTTGACCTTGAGAATCCATCCTGACTTTTTCCACAATAAAATTAATTCAAAATCATGACTTGATTTTCTTTTTTTTAATTGTAAATATAATATTTGTTCTTGAAATATTCTAAAGAGCCATTATTGTTGGTAATGATGATTTTGATTGTCATTTTTTATCTTCACCATAATTAGTAAATAATCAAGAAGTCCTTGATACATACATACAAATCTATATTGAAAACCTTTTTGTATGGTTTGATTTTTAAATGAAAAATCAGTTGCAGATATTTGATTGAATCTTATTAATGGAATGATATCATCGCTTAATATATTGTTTTCCAACTTTACAAAGAAATCTTTTCCATTCAAAAATCTTGTTTTTTATTTTTATTTTTATTTTTCACCATCTTCTTCGCCGAATCACATGATTCCAAATATCAATTCCTTAAAACTGTAGTTATAAGTCAATATTTGTGAAGTCTGTAGATAACTCCGAATCTCTTTCACGCAATAGTTGTGAAGTAAATTATTTTGAAAAAAGATTTTTAAAGTATCATTACAGTATTTACTTAGAAAATAAAACAATTTTTTGAAAATATTATTGTTATTGTTGTTGTTATTAATTATTAATTATTATTCTATTATAATGTAACTAATTGTAGTAGTAGTAGAAGTAGTAGTAGAAGTAGTATAAGTATTAGAAGTAGTAGAAGTAGTAGAAGTAGAACTATAGCATATGTGTAAATAAATATATTGATTATAGTTTATCATAATTTAAAAAAGCTTATAATGATTCTAAAAAAATAAAAATAAATTTTGGTTTATTAGATTTTTATTAATATCTTACATAATTAACAAAATAAATAAATAAATCTACAAATGTTCCAAAGATTTTTTTTTTTGAGATTGATTAATTACGTTGTTGAAAATCACCTCTATTGCTATGATTATTGTCGTCGTTATTATTGTTGTTGGTATGAAGTTCATTTCCATTATTATTTGGATACCAATCTATTGGAGGTCTTACATTTGATTGATCATATTCAGGTTTAACATGATTAGGATTATGTTGAGGATGGTAATTATCATGATGATGTTGAGGTTGAGGTGGATGTTGATGATGATGAGGTGGATGATTGGATTCTGAAGAATGATGGTATGAGTATTGATTATTGTGATGATAATAAGGGTGATTTTGGTATGATGACGAAGATGAACTTGCAACAGCGGAATCACTTGATGATGACGAAGCAGAAGCTGGTCTGAATAAAGAAGTAGAGGGGAGAGGAGAAGTGGAAGAAGAAATCAATTGATGATCGGCAGCAGGATTTATTGGTGGTAACAAAGGTGGTGGATGTTGATAATGTTGTTGAGGATGCTGATAAGGTTGATTATGTTCAGGATGATGTTGTTGATAATGTAGATGATGGTTGGAGCGATGATGAGAATCTATCCTTTGCATATAATGATGATGTGGATGATTCTAAAGATGTTTATTAAAAGACTTTACACATATATTTTGATATTGTATTATGAAGACATTTCTTATTTAATTGATTAAATTTACCTGTGGATTATGTGGATGATGATGTGGATAATCGATTAACATTTTATCACCAGGCATATTTGTCGGCTAATATAAATAATATTTTGAAAAGTTTATTAATTTTTTTGAGCCACTATTAATAGCATATTTTTCACGCGACTAAAGACACTCACAGACTAATTATTGATTTTGACTTTTGATTTTTTTTTAGAGAGAGAAAAATATAAGTTGGGGAAGCTTACAGTATTAGTATTAAATTGTGGCCCACTTTGATGAAGTGGTGGTAATCCCGGTTCGTACGAATGGTCATCGGTTCTATTTGGTGTCGTTAATTTATCTTCACTTCCTCCTCTTGGTACAATATCTATCAAGAAATCAAACATATCTAATTTTTTTATAGCATTAACAATATCTGATCGTTGTAAAGTTCTTCGTTTACATTCTTCTGCATGAAGCCTAATGATATCATTATCATTATCATCATTATTATTATGAAATTTTTACGTATAAATTATCCATCTAAATAAAATAATATTTTTTTTTACCAAGCTCTGGTTGTCAATTCTGTTATAAATATGTCGCAACCTTTAGCAAATAGGATCGGGGCCTTATAAATAGATAATAAATAAATAAGAATGCAATAATATATACAGTCTAAAATAAAAATCCCAATATGTAAATGTGGGGAAAACAATTTAAGAATATAATTAATCCGTTAATTAGAACTTACTTCAGCACTGATCATCTATATGATTATTATAATGAAAATAAGGTACATGGAACCCAACGCGTACAAAAATTGATCAGTGTAACCATTCACGATTAATATAAAATTAAAAAAAATTTTAATTAAATACTATTTGTATACACAAATATAAACCTTCTTACCTTTACATCTTCGTCAGTTTTCATTACTTTCTTTATTCTAGCAAGAGGCAATTGATGAACTTTAAAATCATGAGCACCGTTTCTAATCTCATTTACTTGTAGTTGCCAGAAGTTATCAATTATGCTATTTTGTTCTTGCTGTTGTTGATCTTGCTGCTGTTGATAAATGTGGTGATGAGGGTGTGAAGAGTGCAGTAATTGTGCAGTTGAGGCAAGGTTAACTTGCGATGATGATGAGGATGATTGATCGAGTAAAATATGTGGCGATGATGATGGAACAATATCAACACCCTCTTCACCTCCAATCTTATGCTGTATTAATTCTCTAGGATGTAAAGATAAATGTTGATGCTGTTGATGATGATGAAGATGACGTAGTTGCCCTTCTTCCTCCGCTTCTTCTTCGTGTTGTTGGTGATACTGATATTGATTATGTTGTTGAGGATCGTTAGAAGGTAAGTGTTGTTGTTGTTGAGGATGTTGTTGTTGAGGATGGTGAGGATCATGAGGATGATATATCTTGTTATTTGGATCAGTCATATTATATTAATTTTTTTCTAAAACTTGAAAAGAAAAAAGAAAACCTTAAAAGACCAAAAAAAATATATTTCTATGATAAAATTTTTTTCCCTTTTTTTTTTTTGTAGAATATATAGAGAATCGCAAGTGTACAACACTCGGCAAAGTCGATATTCTAACTGTTTAAGGATTTTTAATAAGGTGTGGGTTTTGCGCCTTTGTTGACTAATCGATCAAAGAATGTATTTATATATTTGGTATATCTTACTATCTATGAATATTCACAATATATTCACACGCTATAAATAAATCTATAAATCAATGTTTTGTCTATACAGTCTCTAATATCTATATCAGGGAGATTAGCAAAAAAAAAAAGCAACAAAGATTAAAAAATCTAAAGAAGGTCAAGAAAGAAAGAAAATCTTTATTACTTTTATTGGAATGGAAAAGGGTGAGCGTCCACTCTTTTTTTTTTTGTTCCTTATCTTTTTTTCTTTCTTATTTTATTATTAGCCTATAACTTAAATTCGGCATTATCTTATCTTAACACCAATGCAATCAAGAGCAAAAATATTCACAAATCTGCTGTCCTTGTGATTTGTTTGTTACGTTTGTAATTTTTTTTTTTTAATTTCCGATTTTTTAATTCTTTAAAAATTTCTAATTTTTATTTTATAATTTATAGAAATGACGATTCAAAAAATTTTTTAAAGGTGTCATTTATATATTATGTTAATATATTATAATAAAATAAATCTAACGAGTTTACTCTCCATTGGTTATTTTATTTTATTTATTTAACATGTCACTACAGGAAATTCATAAGGCGGTTGTTTATGACTTCTATTCAATGTAATTGGTTCAATTCTCTAATTTGATATATATTCGGTTTGATTTGAGATCTTCTGTTGAATTATTTAATTTTTTTTTTTTTTTTTTTTTTTTGAAATACATTAATATTGTGTAATGTTATGCTGTTCTCGAAACATGATTGCAGCAGCTATTGTTATGTTTAAACAAAAACTATTATGAAAGAACCCATTTTTGATTTTACATATTCCCTTTATTTAATTCGTTCAATGGTAATTACGCGCGTTAGATCCTGTGAACCTTAAAAATTTTAATAGTAAATATTATAATAATCAAATAATCATACTATTTTATTGTTTTACTTTCTTTTTCTTTTGATTTTAATTGCTTATATAAATCGCCATAAATACTCATATTAATGCCTAGCAATTAATGATCGAGGGGGGTTCTCGGTATAAACCGTGATGGTTGTTTGACTATTATAGATAGTATGGCTTGGATTTTCAACTATTATTTATTTATTCAATGTAAAGAAAATCTAAAATAATTCAAATTTATATTATTAGATAAATTTTTTTTTATACTAATAATATTCTCATCATTATCAATTTTATTTTACGCAAAATTATGCAATGTGTATAATCAAAGAAAATCTGGATCAGCGTAATACTTCTCGCATGGTCAAAAATATATTACCATTATTACCTATATCTCGAGATTTTTTTTTAAAAATCTAATATATACATGCACTGTCAGTCACTTTATATTAAATGAAAAATATGTAACAGTGTTGACAACGAACGGTATCCCACGAATTTTATTTATATTAAAATATTCATTGTTGAAAGACAAAAAGAAACGCAGATCTTTTTTTATTTTCCATATAAAGATATCGAAATGGAAATTTTTTATTTGTATAACAATTTAACTATACCCATTTCTAAATCAAATCTCATGATGTAGTAATTGATTACGTAACCATAGAAACAACCGCTTATTCATTCCATACATCGCTCCAAATCGCTTTTATCGATACAACTTTAATTTTTTCATGCTTGATAAATTTACACATCACATTTATATGTTATTATATGTGGGGAAATAAATGAAGATCAAAAAAAAATATTGATAAAGTCCCGAAATTTAAGCAGTTTATATGTCAATTCGGTTTTTTAACTGGTATTTTTGTGTTTCCATTAGTCATATTGTTTATTTTATTACAAATAATTGTTCTATCTAAACATCAAATCATAATTCTATAACATTGAAATTTTTATTAAGTTATATATATCGTATTAAAAAAAACCGCAAAGTCTTTTTTGTTCTACCGAAAAAAATAATAAATAATATCAACTATGATGGATGGTATTGATGATAATGATGAGAATGCTTAAAATTATAATGTCAATGAATGAATTATAAATATTTAATTGGGTATTGATTGATTTATAATGTCGATGTCGATGATGTATGCGTATGTGTAAATGTGTATGTGTATGCGTATATAATATATTAACCCGAATAATTTAATTATGTATAAATATATGTTAAATACTCACATATCTAAACGTACACATATACATCATACGTTTTCCAACACACTCTCAAATCCTTGACGACCTTTCATTGAATTCTCTTTAAACCTTTGAACAAAAAATTCTTCTATATGATTAGCAAATCTATGAATCGATTCACCACAATTAATTTTTGCTTCTTGCTTAAATATAGTTCTAAATGGATTTTTTAAAGAAAAAATTAATAATTGATAATTATTTTTTTTTTTGAAAAATCATTATAAAAATAATCAAATAAATATACCTAGATGGATCATCAGGATCTTGGGTATAGGTAACAACTTCTGATACATTAATAATATTTCTCATAGTAAGATTTGTACTTGTCAATTTCAAAACTTTCTTCTTAGGATCAACCTCACTTATCTCTCTAGCATACGTTTCTGTTAAATTACCAAATATTCTATTAAAAAAACTTGGTATATTTTGATTCCGTAATTGCATTAAACGTTCAGTTTTTAAAACACCAGTTTCTTTATCTACATATCGATCCAATACATCAGTTCCTACTACATGTGAACAATTTTCATTTGGATATTTTTGCCAATGTGCTGTTGAAACTTTGGACCAAGGATAAGAAAAAACATGTGTGGTTTCAAATAACTTCATTATCAACTATTGCTGTTTATTAAGTGGTTAATTGATGATAACGTTGATGAATTGATAGTCTATATATTGTGAGGTCTCGGTTTGGCTTAGAAAGTGGATTTAAAGATTAAAAAGAATGAAAGAATGAAAAATAAAATGGTTATATATATATATAAGCAACGATATAGTGTTATTTGTGAAGGATCTCTTTAAAGTTGATAATGTTAGTTATATAAAACGATATATATTATTTTTTTTTTTTTTTAAAAAAAATTTATTTTTTATTTTCAAGTTGTACGAGCTTATTAAGATTATCTAAATCGGGAAAATACCGTAAATGAGAAGATGTACTAGTTACATATTGAAAAACATAATAGTAAGCCTCAATTGCTGCAATTGGAATATCACTTCCGAATATGTTTAGGCATTCACATAATCCCAAAGTTTTCAATTCTATCTAAATCTGGATTGTTGGAAAGCCATTCTATAAAAGTTCGGGAAATATAAAAACTTGATAATATATCAATACCATGATTTAAAGAAGAAAGGTACGAGGTTAAATATTGGACAAGAAGGTCGAGGAAAAATTGAATTAATAAAATCAAAAATATTTTGCCACTCGGAGCAGGGCACAAGTAGCATAACTTTTTTGTAATGAATCTAAAAAATTTAACTGACGAAGAAGATATTTTACTTTCATGCCTTGATAATTTGTGTTTCTAAAAAGTATTTATTTATATTTATTTATATTTTATTTCGTTTTTTCATTCATCTTGATTATTTTGTTCTGATACCGTATCAAAGTAATTCAGAAAAAAAAATATTAGTTTAAATAAAGTAATAATTTATATATTTTTTTTTAATTTAAATAAATAAATAAATATATATATATATATATATCTTACATATTAAAAGATGATATTCCTGGTGGTGATGAAAGAGATATGTGAGCTGGTGGTGGCGGTGGAGCTTGAGATAATGTAGATCCTGGTGGTGGTCCTATTAAAATCGAGTTTGGATTAGAAGTTGTTACCGCTGATGGCGATGATAATGGTGGCCTAGGTGGTGGTGGTCCGGGTGGATAGCCTAATTGATAATGAGGCGGTGGTTGTCTCATAAATGATCCAGATAATGGAAGTGAATTTGTTCCTGTTGCAGCAACTGATGGTGATGACGTTTGTGGTGGCGCATTTCCAAATAGTTGATTTGAAGGAGCAGAATGATGGTGTGGTGGTGGTGGATGATGATGAGGATGATGGTGATGAGGATGTGATGATAATGGTGACGGAGATTGGTCCAATTTGAACGGATATTTGTTTTGTGCATCTAATCCAATTAATGGTCCTCCAATAGCTGGTGTTGGTGTAGTATTAGTTGCACCAGGAGCAGATATTCTTCCCATGATCGAACCTTTTTTTAAAAACCATTTATATATTATTAATATAGTTAAACCAATTATTAATTAATACATTTATTTGTTTTTATATACATACCTGCACCGGAAAATGGTGTAGTTGCATTACTACCGGTAGCAGGAACACCAGGAGCATACCCATACTGAGGTGGAAACCCTAAGAAATTAAATTAAATAAAAATGTTAGCCATTAATCACATAAGAAATAAGCAAATTATAAAATAACAATGATAATAATTTACCTGGTTGTCCAGAAACACCAGCATGTTCATAAGCTTTTGTGATCTCATCTATAATTGCCTGTGCCTTATCTTGACCCAATTCTATTAAAAATAAATATTAAATTAAAAAATTAATCATCATCATCATTATTATTAATCTGATCAATTAAAAAAAAATACTAATACATACCAGCATAATAATTTTTAACGTTCATATTGTGATTTTTACCATAATTATGGGCTTTTCTAACCGAAGAAGAATCTATTTATAAAGAAAATCATGTTAAAATAGTTCACAGTGTTATAATTACAATTTATTAACATTTGCCTACCATGTGTTAAATATACATCACAATAATCTATTTTTTAATATTGATTATAAAATTCAAAAGCGTAAAAGGTTTAATAAACAATAACAATAAAATTGCGTTTAAAGTAAAAAAAATTTTCACACACATACCACAATAATATTTAGGCATTTTTTAATTACTTCTTTTTACAGTTTTACGTTTTACAGTACAGTGGAAAAAATCTAATTGAAAGAAAAGTTTCCCCCAAATTTTTTATGTACCACGGCTAAAATAATTTTAGTAATTTGTACCTCTGCAGGTTACACACTAATTGTTTATTAGAGTTTCGGCAAAGGTACATACTAATTGTTTATTAGAGTTTTGGGAATATGTTTTTTACTCTAATTAATCCTTATTTGATCGCAATAGACGATGGAACATTTTTGATTTATAACAAAACTTTTTTTAAATGATAAAGATAAATTTCATGGACTAAAGACTTCTTAATTGCTGCGCCGCACGCCCAAATTTCAAAAATTGCAATTTCGTGATTCGTTGGTTTTTGCTTATTTCCAAATTTAGTAATGATGAACGAAAACGAGTCTAAATGTATATAGCAATGATTCTAGCGCTCAAAAGAATATATAGAACTCTACAACAAATAATTAATTTTTTTGAAAAAATCTCTCTATTACATTAAAACTAAAGGCCCATTCTATCAGCTAATAGAGCTATTTTTTTAAAAGGTAGGACAGAAAATGACTTCTATACTATTAAAATTTGCACAAAATTTTAGGAGGTCTTTAGACTGAGCCAACTATATTTTGATTTGACAGTCACACACAATAGAATTTTCCCATATTGATATAAATAGTAGTATAGTGGAAATTTGAAATGTTAATTAATTTTTTATATTATGCAACGTAACTTTACAATACACGGCAAACATTCTAGCAATAAAAAGAAAGTGATAAACTTGATTTGAATTGGATCTGAACTTTGATCTCCAATTTAGAGAGGTAACAACTATGTTTCAGGAGCAATGAATGGGTTCTGTATAAAATTTCGTGTAACAACAAACTTCCACTACGCTATGAATGGTATTTTCCAATTTATTTACGCAGATCCTTCCTAAGCAATATAAGAATGTAATTTAAATATAGATAATTTAATATTACATATAAATAATTTCTCCTTAAGCTATTTTGCGGTTATAACGAGTGAATTGCATTTATATGTCATTCATTGATATTTCGTTTAATCTAAAAAACGATAATAAAAATAATCAATGTATTTATAATTATAACTAAATTAACTAAATTATTCCTTACTTATTTGAATAATACGTGTAAATATAGATAAAGGCATATTCATTGATAAGTGACTGTGAAGTTTATTCCTATTATTATGGTTAAAAGTTTTGTATATAAAGTTACAAGAATAATAATAAAGTTTCTAACAAATTCCTCTCTTTAGCTCTTATTTACCTTTTGAGGTCTTGGCGATGACTTAATGATTATTAAATAAAAATCTTTATTATCTATATTAATAATAATAGGTTACAACATAATTTTTTGTGTAAATTTACAAGTAATATAAAGGTTTTTACAACGGAATGAATAGGCAAGAACCAATTAAAATTATGTAGATCGTTCTGGAAAAAAGTGACAGCCAGCCAGACTTTATTGGAGTAATTAATTAGTCCAAAAGTATATAAATTCAAAAGCATTAGGGCGATAAATTCGGCCTAAATTCACCATACCAAATGATTGTATTAGGTGCACCAAGCTTGTAAAGTGATTCATATTAAATGTCATCGGTCACTTGAATGAAGGAGAACCTATCAAATTCGAGCAAGAATATTTTATTTGATACATTAAAGCTCTATGATATTCCAGTTTCAGAAAGGAACATCGTAATCGCTTTTGAGGGCCCAGATCTTTGCACTCGTTATCTAGCTCTTATCTTCAGTCTATGTTTCACGAAAGTATCAGCGAAAGTTCATGTTTCCTAATCCTATAGATGTCAGATTATGCCGGAATACTCTCTTGAAGCTCCAATAAAATCGTTCTCATCTCCCATAATTTTTTAAAAATCTTATACTGCAAGGTATTGGTTTTCGCTTTTTTTTTCATGATGAAATCAAAGACCTCACAGTTTTCTTGTCGAGAACGTTGATATATAATAATAATGTCTGGAGCTTATTTCTCATGATCGCATGCGACAATTTTTCACCGAGCTATTGTTGTCGAGTCTTAAAACGTAGCCTTCGAAATTAATGTGTTATTTCCTCTCATAATTTATAATTTCATGATTCAGCTTTCTTATATTTCTGGATAAATACCACTAGCTTATTCCATCGTAAATCAACAATTTCCAGTCGTAAGTCTTTCCATCTATTCAATCATATTGATGAGCAAAGTTCATCAAGTTTTCCGAATAATATGGTCTGAAATGAAGACGCTATCGCTCAACATATTTTCTCCTTACAAATTGAGATTATTACTACAAAATAAAATCCGAGAATTCGAAATTTTGGATATAGCGAAAAAAAATCATACATTAATGAATTTTTCTTGACGAATTTCTTTCTTAAAGCTCGTGTAAACGTGTAAAATGAATTGTCATTTCTTGTGCCACTAATCATTCAGGTAAAATTATATTATTATTGTAGTAAATTCTTTTTTTTTCTGTTAAATAATTGAAATTATATCATACCTATTTGATTAAGACACATGATAAACGATTAAATTTTTTTATACTATATAATAATTTAAAATGATTATCACCACCTTAATTTTTTAATCTATAGTTCCTTGGCAAAGGCTTTGAACATATATAGGTGTAAACTCAATAAGTCGGTAATTTGCATATATAGAACGTGGACAATAACTACCAAAATCATGATTTTGAGTTAACACCGCAACTTCTACATGAAATTCACCACAGGATTAATTTCAGCTTAGAAAATATATCATATTATGATTTCGAGTTATAATTTAGTTTATCCACTTGATAAAATTTCGAGATTCTTCCATAATAGAAATGCCGATCTTTTTTTCTGTTTTCTCAAATCGTGACTTTGCAGTTACTCACCCCTTTCTATTAACTTTATCAAGTTTACCTGTGCATTAATTAATAATAATAATTACACAAAAATTTAGATCAATATGTAACTTAATATTAAGATTTTGAGATTATGCATGGCGTGAATGATAATTCGCTGTTTTGTGATGGCAATACATAGTTAAAAACCGGTTACAACCATTATTTACAGTTTGGGAACATTCCCAATAAAGGACAAATATATATGCAAATATTAATATGAAATGCAGGAACTCCCCAAGTTCACCAATACTATTCAATTCATCAAATATGACGAGCCTTGTTTACAATTTAGGATTGAAAAATGACTTTATGGAGATAGAACGGTGGGAATTAGCTTCACCTGATCGGGAAACAGGTCAAAATGTGTAATAAATAAATATGCTGGAGGTTGATCATCATTCTAAATAAAATTTCATTCACCATATGATTGATTCGTTCTTTTTGATCAAGTTTTAGAAGAAACCTGAAATAATAATAATACGTTTTGAAACTTAAAAAAATTTTTTACAAATGAAAATAAAAACAAGCCATTATTAAAAAAAATTTGTTGAATAAATATTATATAAAATATTTTAAATATAATTTAATATATTTAATCCAAATAAAATAAAAACAAAGAAAAATTTTTTAGCCCAAATATATAAAACCAAAACAAACAAAACAAATTTACCCACTGATAATCAAAAAAAATTATTAATTTAATTTCCTTTTTGTCTAACAATCCTGTCAATAATACAATCGGATCAATATTACTTTTTAAAAAAATAATCGTTAATTGGTTTAATATCATGCATAAATCAAGTCACTTTCAACTAGTGATAAATTCAAACAATGTTAAGAAACTTACATTGCTCTATTTCAACCTTTTTATTTTATTTCCTATATTTTCCATTAATTGTAATTACTTTTGCATTAGATTCGTCAACATAAAATTCTAATGGATCTTCTCTTTTACTTCAGGAATAACTAACAGTATAACAAGGAATTGTTTTTGTCAAATATGCAATTAATTATTAATTCAATTTATATTACACAATTTCTTTTGTTGTTCAAATTGTTTCTGCATTTACCGAATATTTCGGGAACATTCGGATTCCCCAAAGTATGAACATAAAATAACCGTGTTATTTGATTTATTTTCTTGATTAAATATTTCAACTGCAGATCTACCATTACTATTACTATTATTATCAAGATGACAACATTACACATTTCGGTGATGATCATTTCACATAAATTCGGCTATTTTTCTTCTAACGATGTGATTTTTTCTGGTAATTATTGTAGTGATTGTTGTAAAGATGATTGTGATTTTCTTGCTTTTGACTTCTAAAAATATTGTAGCCAGCCATCTTTTTTTGTTTGAGTCCGTATATCCTTTCTGCATTTATACGATATAAAGCTTTGGTTAAAATGATTTTTTGTTTGAAGCACAACAAACTTTGCAAAACATTAAAGATATTGTTTGGATAGTAGGAGCCAGTGGTATTCGTTCAGCCATCCATATATGGAGTACTGTAATTGTTATTGTTGTTGTTTCTCGATGTTAAAAAAAAATTTTTTTTTGAAAATAAAATTGTAAAACGTTTTCTATCACTGGTAGAAAACTTTTAATTTACCAAAAATTCCACGCTTGTATCTTGAAATGATTGTAAAAATAATTGATAGTTTCACAAATCTTTAATGGGATATAAATATAAAAGAGGTGACTGTGCTATCAACGCGTAATATTTATTAAAATCATTATTAATTCAAATTAATAATTCGAATCAGCAAAGAACAATATTAATGCAATAACTACAGTATATTAAAATGATATTCGCAGTAATAAATATTTTTATTAAAATGATAATCCATATTTAGTAATAAAATTTTTATCAAATAAAAATTTTACATTTAATGATTTTTTGATTATTAAATAATAATAATAAAATTATTTATTACTATTGTTATTGATTAATAATGATTGAATCATAATCTTTCACTCTTTCGTCAATTAAGTAATTTACATCATTTTTTTATACACAGACAAAAAATTTTACAGTCTGTTGATCACCACTTTGGACTAGAATAATAATTTGTTTTACTGCGTGAGTTTTTATTACGTTTTCGAATAGGAGATGTCACGTTTTTCCTAACTCATCTGATCCAAGGTTTCCTGCCAGAACCTGTTTAACCTGATGCCGAAAGATAAAAGTCCTACATAGATAGTACCGAAATGCAGAAATTATAGTTTCGATATCGTTTTCATGATTTAGCTATAGTTTCAGCTAGGGTTTCTATTCAAATAAGGTTTATTCAAATTATTTGTTTTAATCATTATGAATTTTGAGTACTCGAGTTACATTGAAAGTTTAGTCCAATAAAACAAATAAAACAAATAAAACGGATAATTGAATAATATTAATATTAAATTGTATTACGAGTAATACTCTAGGCTAATATGGTTGGCTTGGTCTAAAGACTAGAGATGTGCCGCGGATAAATATGCCATTTACTTTCTTATTATTATATGCGCATTTATGATATTTCCCTCCCTATAATATATACACACTATACGCACTATGCGCACTATGCGCGAAAAAAAATCACGGTTACTATGAATGGCACATCTCTACTAAAGACCCTTACTACTGCGCCATGTGATCAAATTTCAAAAAATTGCGATTTCACGTGATTTTGGATAAAAAAATTATTTGGGACCCGGACATTTTACCGACAATCAAGTAAGGTTTCTAGCCCAAACTGTGGCAATTTGGGCTTTTCAAATTTTTTTATATAATAAGGGTGTGAGTTTAACATTCAAAATCATTATTCTTTTTTTATAAAAATTCAAGAAATTATGTTTAAAAGTATTCAAATGCGAGAGAAAAGATTAATATTTTATTTATCTAAAAATTAGAAATAAATTCATCACAATTATAATGAATCAATTATAAATAAATTTAGGGGATTGTTATTCTCACCCCCATTTTTGTTATTCGCACCCCTCCCGTGACTATGACAAAGATGAACCAATAAAATCATCACATTTCAAAGCCATTCATTGGTCGCTTACTACACTTAGTCACGGGAGGGGTGCGAATAACAATTCTCTAAATTTAATAAAATAACATGAAGTCAGAATATGCAATTTTTATCAATTTTCGTCAGACAAAAAAAAAATTACACATGTATCTATATTGTATTTTTATGAACTGGTCTTTGATGCAAATTAAGGATAATAAGTTGTGTTATTAGTTAATGATTTGTGGGGCAAGGTCAGTACTCGATCAACAGTTGATTTAACTTGTCTGTAAAAAACCAAACTTTTAGCTTCTACATAGAGTTATCCAGGACTTCACACAGTCCTTGGCAAATTGTTAACACAATGCTTGTCGGTAAAGTGCCCCAGATCCAAATTATTTTTCTTACTGATGGTCGAGTATTAGTCTAAATTTAATAATGGTACTCGAAAACTAGTCTAAATTTAGCAATGATTCTAGGGCTCAAATTCCTCATGAACATAGTAGATGGCTGAAACTAACCCATAGTTTAGGCATTTAGGCAAAATCCTAAACTGTGGACAAAACTCCTAAACTGGCAAACTTATTAATATTAGTGTTTAAATTTTCCAAGTTTTTGTTTTTTAATGGTGGTGGTTGCTCATTTTGAAGTCAGACTAGCCATGTTTCTCGGTGAAAAAGAAAAATAGGAAATGTATTAAATTAAATTAATTCTTTTATTATTATATAATTATTGTGCAATAGTAATAGAATAGTAACACTATTGTGAATCTATTATAGGAATTTTTTTCTCGTTATTTTAAATATATTTAAGGCTCCGAACAAATCGAATCGAATCGAATTTTAGAATGATTTGATTTGATTCGATTCGTGACTCGATTCGTGACTCGATTCGAATCAATTCGAATCAAACTGGATTCCTAAATTTTTCTTAATGTCATATTAAATACAGTGAATTACAATGTAGTGTACCTCGATTTAATGGATATTAGCAGATTGAGATTTAATAATAATAATAATAATAATAATAATAATAATAAAATTCCTCTCAATATAACGGATGTCTTGATATAGTCACAACAGATAGATGGGACACATAACAATAAGAAAATTTTGATATGTTTTATATGTGAAGCAAAAATTTTAAAAATCCGTTATGATAAGAATTTAATATTAATTATTATTATAGTCCGCTATGACAAGGTTTGAATATAATCATAACGAATTTTTGGGAAATAATTTCTTAATCGCCCAAACTATCTGCTAAATCAAGATTGTGTATATTTTAAATTTTTAATTGATAAAGGATATTATTTAGTGATGGTAGCCGAAACTGTTTTTGAAAAAAGGGCAGTTTCGTCCAATACATACAATAAGAATCTAAATCAATCGACTTTTGTTTTAAAAAACTCCCAATTTCAGCCATTAAAATTAGTTTCGTCAAAGTTTTGGCCAATTAATTTCGGCAACTTCGGCCCACTAATAGTGATGTTAGCCGGCTTACACGGCTCAGCCGGCTAAGAAATTTTTAAACGGCTTAGCAGGCTTGAGCCAATCAAATTATATTCTCAAAAATAATAAAAAATATTCATTCATTCGTATAATAATCAGTGTAATTTAAATGATATAGAAGAGAATTCTGGTTCCTTAAAATCAGCTTTATCATTATTTTTCGAAGATGATTCTTTTTCAATATTAAACAATCAATAATTTTATTAAATAAATTTTTATTATCATTCTTTGCGCTAGGAGCGACAGGATTTATGATTGATTCTCAAAATTTTGTGCTTGAAACGCAGACAGAACTAAGGCAAGTAATATTAGATGATACTAACATTTCCAAAAATATAAATTCTGAAGTTGAATTTTACTTGACATTGCAAAAGGTACCATTAGAAGAAATCCACTCCTTTGGTGGAATCAGAAAAAAGTAGTTCTATCAAATCTAGCAGTTCAAGCTAGGGTTTATTCAGCTATACCAGCAACCTCAGTCCCATCTGAGAGGTTGTTTTCCTCAGCTGGTAACATCTTCACAAAAAAAAAGAAATGGATTCAACCAAAGTAATTTTCATAATATACTGTTTTTGAGAGAAAATTATAAACTTTTTGATCAATAAATTGGTTAATTTTTTTAATTTTTATATTAATTAATTTTTTATTATGATTTATTAGAGATGTTCCAATGCGCACGTAATTTTTGAAATCATGCGCATGTAATTTTTTTGTATATAGTAATAAATGTAACGCAAAAAAAATTTTAAATTTTTTGACAATTCTTTAGCATGGTCAACTATAGATGAAGCAGATTTGGTAACATGGTGGAAAGGGAATTTTTCATTAGTTGCCCCTGAACTGACTAATCTTGCTGTACAAATTCTTTCAATCCTACATCTTCAGCAGCACCTGAAAGAAATTGGTCTGCATTCTCCATAAAAAAAGAAATAGACTAACATCGGTATGGTTTTCAAATTAGTGTTTATTTATTTTAAATAATTACAAAATCCAAAAAATCAAAATAAATTAAAAGATAATGTCAATGGAAACACTAATGATACTGGTAATGATAATGAGGAACAGGAAGATGATGAAAATGAAGATGATGTTAGTGAAGTGAAAATGATGATATTGATGTATATACATCCGAATCGGTGACTAATATTAGTGATTAAAATCTGTTTTTTTTTAATAATAATAATATTTTTTTTAAAAAATAAAAAAGATCAGCAGATGCAGTGCGCATTGTGCGCATGAAGTTTGAAATTTTCATGCAATTTCTCATCCCTAGTTTTAATTGAATTTTTTCAATAAGAATAAATAATTCATTTGATCAAGTGTTAGCTGGCTAGAATTTTTTACCATATTCATCAGCAGTGATTTTATTTATGTTGTGCGTGAAAATGGATTTATTATTATAAACTGTATATATATCTAAAAATTTTTGGATATAAAATTCTGATTAGCCAATTTAAATTTCATGCCAACGTTTAGTAAAAAAATTCCTTTTTTCTTTTGTCTATCTGAACAATGTTTGGGCTTGAATTCCTAATTGTCATTTCTGTGATGGACTGATTGCAGAAAATTATTATCTTCCCACATTATTATATTTTTTTTTAAAATCATATTTTCACAAACGTTGAATCTAATATTCAACAAACTTCTCCTTGGCCTCCTCTATCTTTTTCACACTCTTTTTCACACATTTTTTTTTCATCTTCACCTTCATCACTTTCTCTAATACCTATTAATAATGAAATAGATACACAAATAAAAAAGGTGGACACCCACATGCCATTTACTTAATAAAGGAATAAAAATTTCTTCCGGTCACTATTTTGCTGATTGTAAAAGTTGTGGAAAGCATTGAAATAAGGGTTCTCCTACTATGATGGAACATCACTTAACTTTTGAATGTCTAGCAATTAATTATTTATTATAAATTTTATTTATTTTGTTTATTAAATTAAATTTTATTTATTAATTATATTCAACAATTTGCTAAAAAATTGTTTGCTATTACACCATGTGCAAGCTTCTTGTGAAAGGATTTGGTCAAGTTTGGATGGTTATATGAAAAAAAAGGTGCAATTTAAGTACTGAACCATTAGCAAAAATTTCATAATTATTATCTCTCAAATTGCAAGGAGAATTGAAAATAGCAGAAGGAAATATTTCTGAAAATGAAATATTGGATACTTTTTTGGCAACTCAAGATGATAATGAGGATGATGGCGATATAGAAACATCTTCATTAGAAGAAGAAAATAATGATTGCCATTTACTTAATAAAGGAATAAAAATTTCTTCCGGTCACTATTTTGCTGATTGTAAAAGTTGTGGAAAGCATTGAAATAAGGGTTCTCCTACTATGATGGAACATCACTTAACTTTTGAATGTCTAGCAATTAATTATTTATTATAAATTTTATTTATTTTGTTTATTAAATTAAATTTTATTTATTAATTATATTCAACAATTTGCTAAAAAATTGTTTGCTATTACACCATGTGCAAGCTTCTTGTGAAAGGATTTGGTCAAGTTTGGATGGTTATATGAAAAAAAAGGTGCAATTTAAGTACTGAACCATTAGCAAAAATTTCATAATTATTATCTCTCAAATTGCAAGGAGAATTGAAAATAGCAGAAGGAAATATTTCTGAAAATGAAATATTGGATACTTTTTTGGCAACTCAAGATGATAATGAGGATGATGGCGATATAGAAACATCTTCATTAGAAGAAGAAAATAATGATATAAATGCTAATGAGGGACTTCCAGAACCTTATGTTTTAATTATTCAAAATACAATGGATTTATCTCATTCTAATTTTCAAGATCTAGATGATAATGATGAAAATAGATCTGAGTATTTATTTGAAGAAGAAAACATATTAGCTAATAATGAGTATGACAAAGAGGAGAAATATCCGACCACCAAAGTCGTGTAACGTCAAATGAAAAGAGTCCTTACTAAAAAAGTCACGTTTTCTTAAATAAAACCGTTTTTACTTTACTAAGTAGACTTGTACTTGATATCAAAATCTCTAAATTACAAAAGCTTCGAAAGGTTTGGTATGGTATTAATGGAAAATTTGGCAAATAGTCCAAAAAAGCAAATTTTCAATCGAAATCTTTACATATAATAAAGGTCAAATTTCTTCATTGTAATGTATATTATTTCATTAATAAAATGTGCTCAACGTAACAGATTGCATATATCCACAATATGGTGTTGGTATAAATTGGTTCGTGAAAAGGGTTTAAAAAAGTATCCGACCACCCCGTAATTTTATCATATAAAGCACTTAATAAAGTTGACAAAATGCAAATTTTAAGGCTTTACGTTTTGTTGTCTATACTTGATCAAATTTTCTCAAATTTTAACCATATATAATTCAAGATATTTTAAGTGGACTTACTTAATGACGTAATACATGATTCAACAGAGTTTTGAAGGTTTTTACTAAGCTCAAAGTTTTCATAAAATTCACGGAATTTTTTGTCTAATTTAAAATTTTCATCCTAAATTCATTAATAATGCAAACTCGACGAGACTTTAAGTTTATATGCAGTCCCAGTTGAACTGCATAAGGCGTAACATTTCCGATTATTAAAATGATCATCAGGGTGTACAGTATATATACATATACTAGTAGTACAATAATCATACTAAAAAGCGTAGAATAATTAATAAAAAAGGAATAAAAAGGTTGAAACAACCAAGAAAATTTTCACCTTTTACATCATACACATCATACATATAAGTTATTTTACCCATAATCTCCGCACATTTTTGCAATAGCAAAAAACAGCTTGGACAAAAAAATTTTTTTTTTTGATAAAAATGATTTGTTTATTTATCCAAACGTTTGTTCTACAAAAATGAAAGTGGAAACATTATGTTACAAATAATGGTATGAAGCCGATCACCATCAAAATCTTTTCTTTCTTAAAAAGATTATGAATTAAAGATGTCTGCTAATTCTCAAATAAAAAATCCTTATGAAGAAAATCTATCACTTTCAAAAACATTATCTAAACATCGAGGATGGGGACGTCCTGATATCTTTCATATGAGAGGATCTGTAAGTGATGTATTCCATCATCATTATTATTAATTGATAATTAATTAATTGTTTATTTATTTATTAATGCTATAGGTTATTGTTGCAATTATACCAATTGTTTTCTTTTCAACAGCTATTTCTACTATCGTAACTGTTTTGTATATTATTTTTGATAAAAAAAATATCACGTTACCCAGTAGCATAAGTACGAGAATTATTATTATCATATACTAATTACCAATTAATACTATTACTATTACTATTACTATTTATTGTTTGATTTTTCGAATTTACTAAAAAGGATAAAATCTAATCGTTTTTTAGTTGGGTCTGTTGCTGTTGTTGTTGGTCTCTTATTAGCTTTTCGTACAAATAATGCTTATGATAGGTATTATGAAGGAAGAAAACTTTTTAGTAATCTATGGTATTTCTTAATTTACTTTTTTTTTAAATTAATTTATTTTATAATAATAATGATGATGATGATGATGAATCTTTGAATTTTAATTAGTACTCAAATTCGTAATGTTTCTCGTCTTACTTGGATCGGTATTAGAGAATTCAAAAATCCTCAAGATCATAATGAAAAGATTGCTATTATCAAGATGTTATTAGCATTTGCTGTGGCAGTCAAGCATCATTTGAGATTGGAATTTGGTACAGAATGGTTTGATTTAGAAGATCTCCTTCCTGATGGATTTCAATTGGCAGCATTTGATGGAAATGCGGGACAAGAGAATACAGATTTGGGGGGTGGAGGTAGCGAAGATCATAGAGATGATCCAAATCATCCTGATAATCGTGACTTGCCACCAAGCGAAGCACCAACAATCGTTGTCCATAATGATAATCATCATCATCAAGGTTTACCACATACAAAAGCAGCAATTCGTTCATTGGCAGGTTCATGGAGTCAAAATTCCATTTATTTCAACAATGGTAAACTTAAAGATAATTGTAACTTGGATGCAAGCATGAGTTTACCTTTGGAAATAGTTTTTCATTTGGGTGCATATTATGATAAACAAGTTCTTGATAATAAAGATCCAAACAACCCAAAAATTACTGGAGCCGCATTTGGCGCTATATCTGGTTCTTTAAATACTTTAATTGATATTTTAGGTAGCTTAGAAAGAATTGGCAA